AATGTGATCAGTCAAGTATAAATCATTTTTATCTGAATATTTTGGACTACTACTTTCACAATCTTTTGAAGGACATTTTCGTTCCAACTCTGGAAAGATTTTATACTGATGAATAAATTGACCAAATTTGATAATGTTTTGATTAGAACTACTCAAGTTATCCTGTACACATTGACAATTATTAACAACGATAGACATTTTCCCCTTATATACTTTTCACTTAAAATATTTTATCAGATTTTCAAAATTTTTGCATGAAATTTTAATACAGGACATTTGTCATTCATACTAAGGGAAGACTTTATACTGATGAATAAGGTGACCAAGATTGATAAAGTTTCGAATAGAATTAGTAAAGTTATTGTGCACACAGTGACAATTTTTAATGACAACAACGACGACGACAACGCCGGACAGAAATTTGTTCCTTAATATACCTTTCCCTTCCATCTTTGATGATACAGGCAAGGTAAAAATGTTATCTGTTACTTACGCATATTACAGGGGTTTGGAAATGTTTCCCTTAATATACCTTTCCCTTCCATCTTTGATGTTACGGGCAAGGTAAAAATGTTATCTGTTACTTACGCATAATACAGGGGTTTGGAAATGTTTCCCTTAATATACCTTTCCCTTCCATCTTTGATGATACAGGCAAGGTAAAAATGTTATCTGTTACTTACGCATAATACAGGGGTTTGGAAATGTTTCCCTTAATATACCTTTCCCTTCCATCTTTGATGATACAGGCAAGGTAAAAATGTTATCTGTTACTTACGCATAATACAGTGGTTTGCCAAGAGGAGATGAGTCTTTTTCCCAAAGCACTGTATACGGTATCAAGCTATCTACGTTGCATGTAAGCGTCGCTGTATCTCCATAATATCCTGGTGTTTTAGTGGTCGTTTTAACACGTGGAGCAACTGACAAATAAAAACAAAGTAGATCATAAAATTGCTGTTCTTTCAAACCACAAAATCATTAAAATTCTGTATTTAGGATATATTTTTGAAACCCTCATTTTTGACGAAAACCGACTGATGACGCTATGACTTAAAACTCGTCTATTCACTCCTATGTCATCAAGTACTGTAAAACATGTCTTTTTCGCGAGCATGTCTTATGCAAATTTAGCGAGAGAACTGATTCGCTAATTCAAGATGTCGCTAATGACTTTATTATAAATTCAAAATAACCAAGGCTTGGAGATTTGTATACAGTAATCTGGAACATAAAAATATGGGGCGCTTCCTAATTACACTTGACAGTTTTTCTTTGTTTTTATGGAGGTGATAACTGCGCATTTGTTTTGGAACGCGACAGACAAGTATTGTGCAAACAGGAAAGCAACAATGACAAGATAGATTCGCTAAATCAACATTTCGCTATTACGTCATTTTACCACAATTCGCTGAAATTGCATGTCGCTTTTTCAACATGTGTTACAGTATGTTACTATTTATTTCCACTGACATTTAATTTCACTATTTTAATGTTTTTGAGATTAATAACTTACTAACTTCACAAATTTGTCAAGGAAACAATGAGTTGTATTGTTATTTTACATGTTCCCATGAATTTAATTTAGTAGATTTGCTTATCAGCAAAAAATAGCAAAAGTAAAACTCGATGACTAAATAATGCATTTAAAATACACAATATATTTCATGTACTCAAGTTTAATCTTTGTTAACCAAATGGTTATCATTAAAACAAATGATAACATTTTCTTGAATTTTGCAATATGGTTTTATTTTATGATTTTGTTCACAAAACCTAGATAAAAATATATGGTCACCAAACTACTTTTCGGTTTCTATGGGAAAAGGTTTCCAATATATCTCAAAATTTTATTTTACCGGTAGTTACCACAAATGGTGACAAAATTATATATAGAATTTAATATTTTAATGTTTTTTTAAAGGTATCATATTTGCCCTGTTAGAACAAATCTCTGATGAAGGTCATATAAATTAACAAGCAGCTTGTCGGCTGAGATAGCTCCGCTGTTAGCAATGCACATTTCAATTAAAGAACAGAACAAGAATTCAAAAATATCACTTTTCATCAAAAATGACAAAAATAATCATCAAAATTAGATAATTGAAGATATCACCACGAAATTAACAAATCTGAAAGAGGTCCACATGTAGTACCTATATATGTAATACAAGCAGCCTCTCGGCTGAGATAGCTCCGCTGTTAGTAATGCACATTTCAATTAAAGAACAGAAGATATCATTACAAAATGAACAATATGCATAGTATCAATGCAATGGGACTTGCTGTTTTCAACAAGAATTCAAAAATATCATTTTTCACCATAAATGATCGTGGTTTTTAACAAGAAGAAAATATCACTTTTTACCAAAAATGATAAAAATATTCACCAAAATTAGAAAATTAAAGATATCGTCATGAAATGAACAAATCTGAGAGAGGTCCACATGTAGTACCTATATATGTAATATCAAAGCAATCGGACTTGTGGTTATTAACAAGAAGTTGAAAATATCACTTTTTACCAAAAATGACAAAAATATTCACCAAAATTAGAAAATTAAAGATATCATCATGAAATAAAAAAATCTGAGAAAGAACCATCCAAGGCATTTGCATATCAAATTTGAAAACATTCTGACTTGCGGTTTTGAAGAAGAAGTTGAAATTGTAAAGTTGACGCCACCGCCGCCGCCGACTGATGACGAACAATCAGTAATATGAACAGCTCCGCTGTGTCGACTTTGACGACAGCAGAGCTAAAAACTGAATCACTAAAATATTACTTAATATCCCCATAGAAACACACTTAATGAAGCAAATACGATGAATTTAATACTCCGTACAATCTACCTCAAATCACATTTTAACCAATATCTCCAAAAATGACATGACACACCAAAACTAAACTCTGTCATGAGGATAAATTGATTATTAATCCGATGGAAAACTTAGTATAATAAGTTTGGGAAAGATTGACAAACAATTATCAGTTATCATGGACTCAAGAAAAATGTTAACGACGACGATGACGAGAGACATGGTCATCATTTAGGGGATAATACATACCTGGCTTTAGCGGACTGACTGCAGTTGAAGACAATCTATGAAACAAGTAATTTTGTTTATCAATACCCGATACTCGCAGATGAAAAAATTCACTTGGAGGAAGAAACATCGGTATAGTATAGATGGAAGGATTTGAAACATTGAGTTGTAAGGGGAATTCACGTATTGTTTGTCCTTGAAGATTTAGAAGTTCTAGTTTAATGAAAACGCCAGGAGGTTCCAGACCAGTTGCATTTATTATCATGTATGTCGGGATACCTGTAAATTAAATTAAATTAAATTAAATTAAATTAAATTAAATTATATTAAATTAAATTATATTAAATTAAATTAAATTAAATTAAATTATTAACACTACATAAAATGAACTTAGAATGCACCAAAACATCAAAACAAAGTTTTGTTTTGTGGACAAATATTGCCAAATTTATCTAATTATATGTAAAATATATGTCCTTTTTTTCAACATTGGCTGGCCAACATTCAATCTAAATTGGTAAATATTGAATCTAAATTGGTCAAAATCAAATCTAAATTGTTCAAAATTGGATTTAAATTGTTCAAAATTAGATTTGACTTGGTCAATATTGAATTCAAATTTGTCAAATCAGATTTAAATTGGTCAACATAGGATCTGAATTGGTCAATATAGAATCTAAATTGGTCAAAATTGGATATAAATTGGTCAATATGAAATTTAAATTGTCAATATCAGATCTAAATTGGTCAAAATTGGATTTAAATAAGTCAATATCGGATATAAATTGGTCAATATCAAATCTAAATTGGTCAAAATTGGATTTAAATTGGTCAATATCAATTGGTCAAAATTGGATTTGACTTGGTCATTAATGAATTTAAATTGGTCAAAATCAGATTTAAATTGGTCAACATAG